AATCTAATCAGGATTATCAATTCTCCTGGCGTTCTGGTTTCTGACGCAGTTGCATTTTGAGAGGGAGCCATTGCACAGACCAGGTAGCACAAGGAGATGACTCTGCATCCCCACCTTCCTGTACTCCGGGATCTCTAGCAAGAAGAGCAGATAATCCTGCCTGCCTGCATCTCACAAAGGCTGTAAACTTCACCAGCTGCTCATAATCCCCAAGGCCATTGCAGGCATCCTGTCTTCTCAAGGGCAAGGGCCTCCCTCCCTCCTTTTGCATCAACCAGCTCAGCAATCCACCCCTGCAGCCTCTAGCAATCCTAAGACATTCTTTCCCTGTGCCAAATCTAGAAATCCCCTCCAGATATTACCAAGGGGCTGTCAAACCACCCCAAAGCCTGCACTCAGAGGGCTCCAGAAAAAACCAACACTCATTTTTCCCGTAGTCATTGTTAAGAGCAAGGTATTGGTTGCGTGCCAAGAAGCTACATCACTCCTCTAAATCTCTTGAAATGTCCCTCAAGCCCATCACCTTTTCTCACCAGTGAAGACCCCCATCCCTCCTTCAGCCCACCAACGCTAATATGCCCTCCCCATAACCTTGCATCCCTTTCCAAGGTTAACTGGCTTTTTAAGGGACCCCGCTTCCATCTCTTCCAAACCAACATATATTCAAATTTACTTCTGCTCCCCTTTTTAGGAGCCATTCCTAGCCTTTTTGTTTCCCTTTTGTCCCCCTTCTAGCATCTTTGTTCAAATCACTCCAGCACCAACCCCTCTTCATCTGCTCAATTCAGGCCTATTTATATATAACACCCCCCCCCTCATTTTGTGCCCTCCAATTACTCCTCCGCTGTGCCCATCATCCTCCCCCCCACTACAGCTTGAACAATGGTCCCTATGCTCAGGGTGATGGGAGGTGCCCCCCTAGAGAAGCAAGGTTATGGAAGGGGGAGCCACTTAAGAAGCCCCCTACCTCTTCACGGCTGCCGGCCACGCTGGCTCTCCACCTCCCCTCCCACTCACCTGTCCACCTGTCCAACCGAAACGAGACCCTCGACGGCGTCGAACACGGAGAGTAACGGCCAAGAGGTGGCTTATATAGCTGCTAGGCAACGCCTAAGGCCCCGCCCCCTGCCCCCCCACCTCAGAAGACACGCCTCCATCTGTCTCCAAGCCGTGGTGGTGGTGATGGGGGGGTTCTCAAGCAGCCGTAATGCGCGTGCGTTGGACCGTTCCGTCAGGCTGTGGTTTCTAGAGCATCCTAACGGCTGCTTTGGCCTCCTAATTGCGCATGCGAAGGAGCAGCGGAGGGAGAATGCTGGGCCTTGTGGAGTTTTTTTTTTCCTTTTCTTTTCTTTCTCCTGTCCTTTTGCCATTGTGCGTTGTTAGACTCTTTTCGGTTACGAAGAGGCTCCTGCCAAACTTGGGGAAACCTACAGTTCTCATAGTCTATTCCCAACCGTGTTAGCTTGGGGTGATCAGAATCAGAAAAGGGCTGGAGGAAAAAAATCAGGAGTTTTGTGTTACACGACACACCTGTGTGGGAATCTGAGCGGCAAAGGGGCATGGGGGGGCGGGGCTGTGCAAGAAATAAGTTTGGGATGTTTAATTTGGAGACTAGATTAGTTGCTATTTCCTCAGTGCTGGTCAACAACTGTTTAAGAGACACAAGCAATTTTCAAATAAACATCAGAATAAATAACTTGAAATATATCTTTGTTTCTTTTCAGCAGTTACTAGAAATTTCCAAGTGTTTATAAATAACAAACCATCTAGTGCACTGCTTGCTTGCAAGTAACAACCAGATATTGATTTTTGGGAGGGGATCCAGATTCCTATTAGGGTGCAAATGTTTATGTTCTCAAAAATTCTACATCAAAGCATTAAAGAGTGAGAATAAAGCAGTAGGGCAAAGGTCTTCAAACTTGGCAAGTTTAAGACTTGTGGACTTCAACTCCCAGAATTCTTGAGCTAACATGACTGGAGGAGGAATTCTGGGAGTTGGCAGTCCACAAGTCTTAAAGCTGTCAAGTTTGAAAACCCCTGCAGTAAGGAATAGGAATATTTCTTTATTGGCTGTGTGATTGGACACACAAGGAATTTATTTCCAGTGCATAAACTCCAGAGCCACACCTTGTGAGAAAGAATTCTTGAGAATCTGCACAGCTTGCACATTGTGTCCCTGTATTAACCTATTAAAAATTGTTCAGCTAATATGGACTTAAGGTTATTAACTGTCTACTGCATACTAATAATTCATTTCCCCCCCTTTCTCTCAGTATTGCAGTAACATTGTCTTGTGTCAACCTTTACAGTTACTTCAAACTTGAATTTTACAGCTTTTGTTTTTATACACTTTTATTAGTTGAATGCTGAGTTCCACATTTATTATAAATGGCCAGTTTCATTTTGAACAGACAGGGAAAAGCAGGAAAGGAAAAAAAAACAGATTCAGAATGGTGACAAGAGTAAATGTTTCAGCAGATGAACATAGCAAGAACTCTTCCAGACTGGTTTGGCCCTCTAAGTAAAGAGGTTAATTGGAGTCTATCTCTTGGAGTCTCTGTAGACTTCCATGCCAATTAGTGCTAATGGTGAGGGAGCTCACGGTAGACAACATTAACCAGGGTTAGTTGTTCATGTTACTATTATATTATACTATTATATAAATATATATTATATATTATACTATATATATATATATATATATTATATATATAATTATATATTATACTATACTATTATATGACTACCCTACAATCAAATTCACAAAAATGTAATTCAAAATCCTAACCAAGCATCTTAGAATCTAAGGTATTATATATACCCATGAAAATACAGCTGCCTCTTCATTTATAATTTATTACTCATAATACTATTAATTAAAGTAGTATTTCTTATTTTCATATAACAAATATTTGGGGGATCAGTGAATGATCTGAAACTTCATGAAGAGAGCTGAAGAGTTTGGGGAACTCAATCTATAGCAAGCTTCCCATCCCATTTCATGTTCCATGACGAGGACAAAAGCAAAAAGCACTCAGGTTAGATCATTCTTGTCATCAACTCCTGAAAAAAGGACCACAATGTCTTAAGAAAATGGTTGAGTTCAAACATTATGCAAAGCCACTTTTTTGCTGGAATAAATTTGAATTAACTTCAATAGAATTAGTAAAGAACACCTGGGGTTTCACATAGTGCAAATCCAGATACATGTAAACCATATCCTAGCTGAACCTGTTGAACTCAGTGTTCCTGTTCTAAAACTGCTTTGTGGTTGGATTCATTTAACGATACTAACTTGAAACTATAAAGCCTGATTTTGTGAGGAGAGTGATTAGAAGTCTTAAAAAATCCTTTACAGCTGATCTATATTTTCCACTTCAATCTTCTATTTAGGAATGAAGAATGCATTTGCCTTAGTGATATTACTTCTCACTCAATAAATGAAGATGATGGCAGTAGCATCAATAGAAGCCTCTATCAGGCCTCCATATCCATCACTGTCTCCCCTCAAGGAAGCAATTCTATGTCAATCTGCCACAATTATCTTATTTCCTGAGGTCCATTTCTTGGAATCATGTAGTCTTTCTGTTCCTCCTCATCACAAGCATTCTAGTGAAGCTAGGGAAAGGATCAGCTGGACTAGAATTTGAAGGTGGGTTTTGACTCTACAGAATTGCACAGATGATCGGTTTGGAGGCCCAGGGCAATGGTGAAATGCAGCTAAAAATAACTCCTGCTCTCCATTGAAGCATGCAAGAGGAACGGCAGCAACAAAGAATGAATTGCTCCACCAAGGACACGGAGGCAGAGATGGTGGAGATCCAGATAAGATTCTCTAGGTTACCTGGGCCAATGGGAATTAATGAAAGCAGTAATTCAATTTATAATTAGATCTAGTCACCAAAACAGGTTAATGTCTCTCTTCCCAAAGCCCGTATTTTGTGAGTTGACATCGATTGAAAAACCCATTTTTGCAAATCATTAAAAACAAACATATGAAACAATATCTATTTATTCCCTCAGCTCAACAGACTTCATTCCGCAAACTGCCATTTTAAATCTTGGCAAAACAGTAGCAAGCAGTTTTGCAAAGTCATTTGATTCAGTATGGCAGGCTTTTTTGTAAACATCATTTTCAGGCCCAATGAAATGATTTTGAGTATTGCAAAGTGCAAAAAGACTTCCTGAAGGAAGCAGTGATGACGACAATGCCTTCGGGAACTATTAGCATCATATACTTCGTGGGGAGGCAAACAGATGTTTTTTTCCCTGTGTTTGGCAGTGTTGGAGAAGGTTGGATAGATCTTATACGGGAAAAGGCAGCTTAGGCCAGGGCAATTAAAGAAAACAGAATGGCAGTGCATAAATTGGAGCAAATAAAAATAAATAGAAAGCTCAGGAGTCTAGAATGAAAGTAGGTCAAGAAATAAAGCAAAACTGGATGGAAGGTACAAAGCAAAAGGACTGATTTGCAAAAATTAACTACAGAAAAAAGGTGAATATTTAGAGTCAAAAAAACAGAATGGATAAAGAAGCCTGATCTGAGACTCATCTGATGCTGCAGGTTCTAGCTATCCATTTAGAAAGTTCTCTTTTTTATTTTTATTGACCCATTTATTTAAATTTATTGGTTAGTGGGCTCTGAATTGTAAGTATAATAAACAAAGGGAGGACGCTAGATTTATATCCTCATTTTTGTAGAAGGCAGTGTAGATAATGGTCCCTTGCTGATTTCCCCCTACAAAACAGCACCCTGTGATATAGGTTGGGCTGAGGAGAGGGGTAGCCCCAAAACACCACCAGTTTCCATGCCAGAAGGAAAAGTGGAACTCACATGCTCCCTGTTTCTAGTCCAAATCCTACATCAGTACACCATCTATGGCAGGGGTGCCAAAACTCACGTCATCACGGTATTGTCACGTGTTGTAGCATGATTTTTTTCCCCCTTTGCTAAACCGGGCATGGGCATAACCAGTGCATCCGGCCCCTTGGACCACGAGTTTGACACCCCTGATCTATGGATTCCATACTTAAAAATACTTTAAAAAAATAAAATAAAAGAATTGCATTTTGCTCCTGTTCACCAGGATTGCTTCATTCAAGCTTTACCGTGATTTCGCAAGGGTGTCAAATGGTGGCCCGTGGGCCAATGCGTCATCCACAGACCACGTCCACCCCAACTCCACAAAGGGAAAAACATAGCAAAACATCACACGAGAGCAACATGACACCGCCAATTTGATAACCGGTGCTTTAACGGAATATCAGTGACCTGGGGGAAGAGGGGAAGAGGCAAGAGCTCCCAATGGCTTATTGGGCAGGGAAAGAAACTTAGGATCTGCCCTATCAGGCAGTTAAGTGGTGGCTGGAAGTTCGCACCTTGAGACATCATTGCTTGCCAAGAATTAAACACAGGATGTAGTAGAGATAGAGGTCCTGTAGGGGGCGTGAGCAGCACACTGCCATGCCTCAATACCTATATGGGCCTCAAATACCTACATGATCTCACTCAGCAGAATTGTCCCTAGCTGGTACATGATCTCACCTGGCTAACATCACCACTTCCTTACTTGTATATTCTTAAGGATTGGTGAGGGGATTCACCAATCCAAATGCTGTTTCTATATACCCTTTTCCTGCTTGTAAAAACTGTATAAAAGCAATAAACGCTGCTCAGGCAGTCAGACATCTTGGCACCCTGCAAAATGACTGGTTATCCATCAACAGGAGACCATTTTCTGTTGCTCAGCACATCTTTGTTGCATGTAGTTTCACCCCTATTAAAATGCTACGAGTGGTTGTACATTTATCCTTGAGAACCTCTGCTTATGCTACAAATAATACCCAGGGCATCTTTGAAACATCTCACTTTTTATTCAGAAAACATATCCCTAACATTGTGAAGGCATTGAAGTGTGAGGATAGTCTATCTTGTTTTATGGCCATTCAGCAAGATATGTAAAATGTAGCTGACCTGGCTGGTGAACACAAACATATTCTGTGCTAGCAACTCCTGGAATGTCCCATTATGTTATAATCCTACACAAGAATTATTGCCTCCTGCTGGACAGTTCTAACATATCATCCATCTATTTATTTTTCTCTCTGTAAAACTGCAACAGAGGGCTTAACGACAAGTTCCATGAAAAGATGAATGTAAGTCATCCAGCAAAGCACACGTTTTCAAAATAATCAACAACTGCAAGAATCCGTTATTTATTGAAGTGAAAACCGCAGAATGAATCATTCACATTTTCTCACGTCCTCCAATATGGTGGGTAACTTTCAGAATGTACGTTTAGATGTCCAATATGAGACCTCACACATCTGGAAGATATAAGAGTTGGGAAGACTGGACTAAGACTGGTATCAAGAGGAGTTTCAGTCCGCTTTGAAAATGCTGAACCTAGCCGATACATGTGCTCTGTTCATTTTTATTTTCATTCCTATAAAAATGTAATCTCATTTTTTTAAAAAAAGTACAGAAATTGTAAAAAGAACCTTGGTCACTTATCACTGTAAATATTTACAGCATCAGTAGTTTCATACTCAGATTCTAAAAAACCCTAAAATTATACACACAGTCACATTATTTAAGTGTCAAATATGTTTAAAGAACTCCTTTAAAATCAGAATAAAAAAGGTTTTATGTATATATATATATATAAATGCATCTTCTTTGGAATCCTCTTCAAAATTACAGGGGGTGGAGGGAATAAAAGGCAAGTTAGGTGTCCATGTGGTGTTCAATGAAATGAACAATTTCTTTCTGTCTGAACAGTATCCAGCGATCACATCTGAAATGATCCTCTTTCCAGAATAGCACATTCAGAAATAAGATAGTTCTGAAATTCAAAAGGGGTACCCAAAATGTATTTTACAATGTCTATAATACTAAGAAACTTAAGGAATCTTGAAGGATCCTAGCCTGCCTCTGAAGAAGACGAGCTAAGACATTGAGAGGTGACCGGATGCTGTCAGCCTGTTCTTTTCATCGCTGCTTAGATCCAACATAAATGCTGTCCCATTTCTCTTTTATTCTCCTGAATAAAACCGATGCTGATACACGGAGAGTGTTCCTGTAGCCATTCGTATTCCAGAAAGAGTGGAAAGAATTAAACCACCAAACTTTCTCTGCTGACAGCATGATTCTGTAGAGGAAAAAGAAAAATCAAGGTTAATCATACCATAAAATCTCTTTCAGTATCTTCAGAATCGTTTAAGATGAGCAACACAAGATTGAAAATAAATATCATGCTGGCTACACACACACAAAGCACGCATTTTGCAGACAGGCTCCCAGGTGCAAACATTGGTTTCTTGGATCAGGAGCTCACTAAGACATAAAAAAAGATATAGATAAATCCAATATTGGGAAGGGGGGGACCCTTTGTTACAACAGTGATTGCTTTCAATTGATACTTTCAATTTGGTCTGTGGGGTTTGTCTGGTCCTGACTTATTCAACAAGGCATGACTGGGCATGTTTACACTGCATGAAGTGGTGTAAATACAACCAAATACATGACAACAAAAGATAATGCAAGAACCATTCAGACACATTTAACAATAATGTGAATATTTTGCTCAAAGGAACAACTATTAGCCTAATAACTATGAGGCCTTAGTAAGACCACACCAAGAGTACTGCATCCAATTTTGGTCACCACACCATAAAAAAGATGTTGAGGCTCTAGAAAAAGTGCAGAGAAGAGCAACCAGGATGATTAGGGGACTTGGAGACTAAAACATCCAATGAACAGTTGCAGGAACTAGGCATGGCTAGTCTAGTGAAGAGAAGAACCAGGGGAGACATGATAGCAGTGCTCCAATATTTGAGGGGCTGCCACAGAGAGGAAGGGATCAAGCTATATTCCAAAGCACCTGAAGGCCAGACAAGGAATAATGGATGGAAATTGAACAAGAAGAGGTTCAACCTGGAAATAAGGAGAAACTTTCTGACTGGGAACTCCATCACTGGAAGCTTTCCAGAAGAGACTGGACTGCCATCTGTCAGATATGGTGTAGGGTCTCCTGCTTGGGCAAGGGGGTTGGACTAGAACTAGATGACCTACAAAGTCCCTTCCAACTTTGTTAATCTGTATCTGTATCTAATTTCGCCTTATCCAGGACATCTCTATTTATAAAGCATTACAACTGTGCGTCCTTCTCCCCATTTTTCAACCTCACCCTTCGCAGCTTGCGGTCATCCTTGCTGCGGGAAGACACAGATTCGGTCTCTGTGTATGGAGGTGGTGGTGGAGGAGGAAAGCCATTGCTATCTTCATCCTGGTGTTTCCTGTGGCCGGATCTCCCATTGGAGGTGCTTCCACGATCCAGGTCTTCACGGCTACCTGCCCGTTGCTTCTTCCGCAGTGCTTCCTCCAGGAGCCGGTTATCATAATGGATTCGCTCCAGATCCCGCAAGTCATCCCTACTTCGACTTCGGCGTCTACCGTAGCGCTCAGAGTCGTAACGGGAGTCAGGGGAATAATCGCGGTGATGGCATTCATTGTCCGAGCTGTGCTGGCCCCGACCTCTGTGCTGGGAAGGGTAGGAATCCCGTTCATAGTCATCTAGAGCATCCACCGAGCGGGAACGCGGGCGTCGGCCATAGCTCCGTGGTGGGGAGTCCTCATAACGGTCACGCCAAGTGGCGGGGGGCAGCAAGCGCCGGTTCTCACTGCTCCGTACGCTCTCCTCCTCCAGGTCACTGATGGGAGACATGGCCTGGCCACGCAGCCTCCCCATGCCTTGCCGCAGCTCGTAACGCCGGTCGTCTTCATGAAGAGAGCTGAGCTCACTCATCACGGAGGCTGGAAAAACAATACGGCGAATGAATCATCCATTCTCCTCCTGACACTAAAGGGCACGCTACTGTGACAACTCAGCGAAGGATCGATTGGGCACACTCTTTTTCCTACACGGAAGGACTCCCCAGCAAAGTACCTTTCTCAAGCCTCCCATTGGGCTGCCCGGGGCGAGTAGGGTCAAAGTTGGCCAGCTCCTTCTCCATATAGTAGAGCACCCGCATGGAGTCATCCTGCTGGTTGGCTTGGATGCGATAGCCGCTGCGTACAGCTGGGGAAGAGAGATCAGGAGCAGGCTTTAGGACATAAGGCGGTCATTTTTAATTTTAATTTTTAAGGAGCCATATGCCTTGTGGAGACGGTTGGCAATCGTGTGGTTCACCCACTACTGCCACCTTTGAACTTGAAACCGAAAGAGGACTTTCTCTGCCAATTGTAATCCCCCTGTTTGTGCTTGGCCCCAAAGTGCTGCTGGTTGCAGCAGGTGCAACAGGTGGCATGAAGTACACGGGGAAGGGGGGGGGTTGGGTCAGGAGATTTAGCTACCCCTTGCTTCAATAGCAAATTTAGAGTTCAGCGAGAAAGCTCAAGGTTGTAGCACTACAGACGAAGAGTGCACGCATGTTCCTGTTAAAAGGAAAGATCTTCCTGCTGGACTGAGAATTTACCTCGAAGGCCCAACGTTTGAAAAGTTTAATCTTTTCAACGCAAGGGCCAGTCTAGCGAAATCTTGCCAGCACGGAGATTGCATGAATCTCCCACACACACACCAAAAAAAGTCTTCAGGTTGTATCTCTTCAAAAGGTAGTTCTTCTGACAAGTGTTTGGGTGGGTTTTGTTTAAAATGAGTTTGGTTTAATTTTATGAAGCTTAGATGTATTGGACTTCCACCTCGGTCATACTGGGTGGAAATTTGGCAAGTAGAAATCCTAACATAGCTGCCTGGCACCAGTTAGAGCAAGGGTCTCCAAACTTGGCAACTTTCAAAACTTGTGGACTTCAATTCCCAGAATTCTGGCTGGAGAATTCTGGGAGTTGAAGTCCAGAAGTCTTAAATTTGCCAAGTTTGGAAACCTCTGAGTTAAGAGAAAAGTGGGGGATTTTTTTTTTCCTATGCAGGAAAGGTAGATGTAAAATTTCAGCTGCAAAGCTAGTGGCACTCCATACCCAAGCACTACAACAGTGTTTTCTAGTCTACGTGGTAGAAAGAAGAATTAGCATCACCCTCAGCTGCAAACAGCCGGATCAGCCAAGTGAAGCAATGTGATAATTATAATTCCTCAGAGGAACAAAATGTTGAATCATCAGTGTAGGCAGTTTCCCCACCACCAAGCATGCCTGATCAGACAGAAGCACAATGTCTAAGCAAACTCAATACTCCATTCCATGTTTCTTACCAGCATTTGCCACACTTTCTGTATCCCTCAGGAGAGGCACTTGGGAGCTGTTTCCACCAACTGTAATGCAATCAAAAGACAGCAAAAAGTTTTCATAAAAGGGATAGCAATGGAAATTAGACTTATATACAGCTTCACAGTGCTTTTACAACCCTCTCTAAGCGCTTTACAGAGTCAGCCTATCGCCCCCAACAATCTGGGTCCTCATTTTACCCACCTCAGAAGGCTGGAAAGCTGAGTCAACCTTGAGCCTGGTGAGATTTGAACTGGCAAATTGCAGGCAGCCGGCAGTCAGCAGAAGTAGCCTGCAGTACTGCACTCTGACCACTGCGCCACTGTGTCACACACGTGACACATACAATCAATAGTAGGCAGGACAAACTGCCCCGTGGCTGTACTTCTGAATCCTAGCAGCAGCCTGCGATACAATATTGTACGCTATGTTTGCACTAAGCAGATTACAGTACAAGCCCTAACAAGCCATAAAATAGTTGGTCTAACATTCTGCTTAATGCAAGAGAACCAGAACACAACCCAAATCTGCTGAATGAAGATTTCCAAGGAGAGAGAGAGAGAGAGAATTCTTCCCTCCCCCCAGATTTTCTCCACTGGTTCCAATTATCAAAGAGATCTAAAATTAGGGACACCCAGAAAAGGCATCCAAAATGCAACCTAGGAGATAACTCAAAAGGGTAAACCTCTGAATGGCACAAGACCTTTCAGGCTGTTAATTCTCCTTACCTGGGAACTAGCTGTGGGGCTCGATAAATTCATTCGAGACAGGCCACTTACCTGAGCTGGCTCGATCGTAATCCATTCCGTAACCGTTGTACATTGGAGACATTGGGCCCATAGGGATCATGGTGGCTGGGGGAGGTGGCTTCATTGGATTGCTGGAGGCATAAATGCTGGGTGCATAAACACTGGGAACTCCAGATGTTGCAGCTTTCCCTGCTACATACACTGGAAAGACAAAGGTTTCCCAAATAAATGCCTGGTGTTTTGCTTTTTAAGGCACGTTGCCAGAGGCAAAGCACTACGGCTCTGCAGACTATTTGGCAGGGATGACAACCCACAGTTACAGCCATTAACCTTGAGAAGGTGATCCCTGGATCAAATCTGATTTCTTTGCGGTCTTCTAGGATGAATAATGTGCTTCTTTTTCAATTTAATGATCTTGGGTTGGGAGGAGGAGGGGGCGGGCATAAGGGATGCAAGTAAAGGTTCACAGAATATGGCTCATCTGTAGGCCTCGACTTACGACC